GCCAAGATCCTGCAGCCGGCTTGTTCCGGAGGAGCCTTGAATTCATGAATGGACACAAAGAAACAGCCCGGGGCCAGACTGGAGAGGGGGAGAGAGGCTTAGCAGGGCCTGGGGCCAGCTCGGCCCTGGGCTGTCCTTTGCCTCTGTGAGACAGACAGACAGATCCCCCTTTGTCTGGTAGCCTGGGCAAATCTCTTTAGTCCTCTGTCTAAGGAACTCAGGGTTGCCGCTGACAGGCACTGGCCTGGGGGCTGGGGTGTTTGTGTGTGTGTGGGGGGCAGCTGCAGCAGCTTTCTGAAGCCTGGCTCATGCATGAAGAAGGCCTGTGCCTCTCCAGGGGCTACAGACCCCTACTGGGTACAGGCCGGGTGCAGGAGGATAGTGAAGCTGAGCTGTGGGCTGGGCCTGGCTCCTACCTGGCTGCAGGGGAAGGAATAGGAGAGGGCCCTGGTGTGCCCAGCGCCAGAACCCAGATTAAGATGGTGAGAGTTTCCAGCCTGGAACCCCCTTCCTGCCCTTTCTGTTAGTCCCCACCACTCCCAAGGGTGGTCCCTCTCCTGGTTTTTATCACCAGACTCATCTTGCCTGTTCCGGAAGTTTATAAAAGTGGAATTGACACATGTACACTGCCGTTCAGCATTTATCTGAGCGTCATTCACATTTTTGTGTGTGACTGTAGTCCATTCTTGACACAAGCTAGTGTGCTGTTGTGTGAATTTTCTGCAGTTTATTTCCATTCCACTGTGGACGGGCATCTGAGTGGTTTCCAGGATTCTTTTCAATCAGGACTTCACTTCCCAACTCTAAAGCAGCAGGTTTGGAAATGTCTGGTCTTGAATATTGATTTCAGAGCTAGACTTTAACATTTAAAATGTTCTCATCCTATATATTTGAAGGTTTTTTTTTTAAAGAGAGAGAGAGAGATCCACAACAGGGCCCCCATGCCATGATCTGAACAGCTAGCCTGGATCACAGGCATGCATGTGTGCACGGCACGCTCAGTAGCTCAGGGAGGTCTTGGGTCACCAGCCTAGGCTCTTTACTAGGTGGATCCAGCTGTGTCATTGCTGCATTGTTGTCTGGCCCTTGTTTTATTAGTTTTTCTTTTTTTTTTTTTTAAGAGAGATTTCTCTTATAGGGTGTGTACACTTGCCTATGAGACAGAGAGACAGAAAGTGAGAAATCACCCCCTGAGGGTATGGCCATGCTGCAATCCCTTCTCAATTTTCCTCTTGAGATTTTGGACACATATGCACACATGCCTAGCGTGACTTTCAAGCCTCCGGGTCTGGGTCTCAAATGGCAGTCAGTCATGTGGGTATCCAGTGTTGCAAGCACTACACCATCTGCTGGTCCTTCATTTTATTAGATTTTTAAAAACTCACTTTATAGAGGCTGGCGGGTGGTGTGGTGGTTAAGGTGTTGGACTCCCACGTGGCTGACCATGGTTTGAATCCCGTACCTGGTTGCTTCCTTTCTCACTTTCCCTCTCTTTCTCTGTGTCTCTCTCTGGTTCAGTTAAATAATAATAATAATAATGAATAACATTAAATTAAATAATTAAGAAAAACTTCACTTATAAAGTGAACATTATAACTGGTCAAGTAAGACAGAAGTACAAAGGAAAGAATCGTTCTCATTCCCTTCCTCCAAGTCTCTCCTCTGGTAAAATTAGCAATAAGGTTTGGTTTGCTTCCTTTCATCCTGTCACTTTTACCAGGTCAGCAAACTGGCCTTGCCCCTTACGGAGTCTGTGAGCACGGGTGAACCACTGGGCCCTGCCCGGATTACCCACACCTCAGAAGTCTGCAGCTTTCAAGCTAGGACTGTTCCTGATTCATGATCTCAAATCTGCGGTCCTTTACAGGGACTTCATAAATGCTCCCAGATGACTGGTCATTCATTTCTTCACCAGTGTGACCTGCTGTGTGCAGGACTCTAGACTGGAACCAGAAAGATGACGGTGAGTCAGGACCTGTCCCCCGGTGTGCAGTGTCTTCTCCTAAGGACACGAGTACTATCGCACTGAGACCCACCCTTATGGCGTCAGTTAACGCGATTGCTTCCTTACTCTACATGCAGTTATGAGGGGGGTTAGGCTTCAGCATACGGATTTTAGAGGGGGCACAATTCAGCACTGTACAGTTGATCTGCTGCTAAACATTAGGGTCATCACGTTTGCTTGGGCTGTTCATGAACCTAACTCAGTGCTTCTCAATCTTAGCCACCCAAGCAGTTGACTTTAAAAATATTGATGCTCGAGTCCCAGACTCAGGGATTTCAGTTATTTTATCCAAGGTGCAGCCTGGGCTTTGGCATGTTTAAAAGCTGCCCAGGTGATTTTTTTCTTTCTTTTAGCATTTAAAAAAAACGGAGGCAAAATCGACATAATACACAATTAACCATTTTAAAGTGAACATTTGGGTCAGCTCTGTGGCCTAGAGCTGGATCCTAGTGGTTAAAGGAGCTGCATGGTTTGAATCCTGGCCCTGGGAGTTTGAAAAACACACTGGGCACATGTGCACATGCTCCAGATCCCGAGAATGCAGAAATGGAGAGAAGGGATTGTGGCATGACCCTGCCCATTAGGGCGTACTTACTCCTTCTCTTTATCTCTGTCTGTCTCTGGCAAGCAAACACACCCTGTGGCTAATTTAAATAAATGGTGTGAATAATTCAAAGCGTTTAGTACGTTCACAGTTCTGTGTAACAACTACCTCTATTTGGTTTACCACCCCAAAAGGAACCTGTATATCCATTTAACAGTGCTCCTCATCTCCCCCTTTTCCAGCCCCGAGAAACACTAACGTGTAATCTGTCCTGTGGATGTGCCTCTTCTGGCTCACGCGAATGGGATTATACCATATGAGACTTTTTATGTCTGGTTTCGTTCACTTAGCATGGTTTTTTTGAGGTTCATCCAAGTCGTAGCATGTGTCAGAACTTCATCCCTTTTGTGTGGATGTTCCATTGTATGGACAGACCACATTTGGTTTGTCCATCCAACCACTTCTCTAGTCACTCTTTTTCAAATTCCCTTTTTTTCCCCCCCCTGGCAGATGTGTGTGTACTAGCCAGAGAGAGAGGGAGAGGGAGAAAGCGAACCCTCCCTCCCCCAACTCCAGGGGCGTGGTCACACCACATTCTCCTCTTTTCCCTCTCTCCTTCCTGTCATGGTTTTGGATATGAACGTGCACATGCCCAGCATGTTTTTCCCAAGTTGCTGGGGCTGGGATTTGAACCAGGGACAGCCATCTCAGATTCAGCTCCCTTAATCACCATGGTTGATGGGCCGGCCCCCATCATTCTTAGTGTGCAGCCAAGATTGAGAACCAGTGGCCTAACCTTTCGTAGCCTCGTCCTCACATTGGAACAGTATGATCTACTTTATAAGGAGGTTGTAAACGAGATGCTTTAAACGAGACCCTCTGTAAAGTACCTGATGGATCCAGCACCACTGAAGAAACAGTGCCTGGGCTCTTTGAGCGAACTCTCTGTGGAGAGGAGAAAGGAGAATTGGGGCGGGGGGCTACCTACTGTGTAGCTGGGGCTATGTGGACTCTTGAGCCATATTCTGTCCTGCTACCCACGGGTTAATATTATTCCCTTTTACACAACAGGAAGCTCAGAGAAGTTAAGTAATTTTCCCCAAATACATAGCAACTGATTGTCTATGTAGGAATTTTCCACCCAGCCTACCTCCAAATTGGACTTTTTATTTATTTTTTTTTTTTTTTTTTTTTTTTTTTTTAAGTTTGCTACAAGGTACATGTACTCACCAGAGAGACAGAAAGAGAGAAGGGGAGAGTGAGAGAGCATTCCCAGGTAGGTAGGCTGGGTGCCTACCTCCAAAGCACCACCAGGGTGCCTACCTCCAAAACCCAAGCCCTTCTAGTTCAGGAAGGGGATTCAACATTCTGTCCTTGACTTTTGCTAGCACCTGGTTCCAAATCCTGGCTCGGTATAGGCCCTCCACGTGGCTGTGGCTGTATGATCACCCGGGCAACAAGCGTTGACCACAAAAAGAGGATTCTGTTCTCCAGAGAGGAGTAGAAAAGCACATTGCCACATGGCCTGGACCTGGTGGCTTGAGAATCATGCCAGGCACGTGTGCATATGTGCCCAAATCCTGGGAAGAAAATGGAGAAGAAGGAATTGTGGGGACCAGCAGGTGGCGTGGTGGTTAAGGTGCTGGATGCTCCCGCATGGCTGACCACGGGTCAAATCCTGGACCTGGTGGCTTGCTTTCTCTCCTTCTCTCTCTCTCTCTCTCTCTCTCTCTCTCTCTCTCTCTCTCTCTCTCTCTCTCTCTCTCTCTCTCTCTCTCTCTGTGTGTGTGTGTGTGTTTCTCTCTGGTCTAAATAAAAATGAATGAATGAATAAATAAAGTTAAATAAATAATTAAAACTAATAAAATGTTAAAAAAAAAAAGAATTGTGATGTGGCCATCTCCCCTTAGGGCGATTTCTCACTTTCCCTTTCACTGTCTCTGTCTCTGATGAGTGCACACACGCTAAGGAAGAAAAAAACAAAAATGGAAGGAAAAGCACATCGCCCTCTTCAGTTTAACCAGCAATGGCCTGTAAGGAATGTGGACTCTTTCAAAAGGAATTTCTCATATTCTTCAGGCTGCCTCTGGGATTGTCAGCTTGATTTTAAAGTAGCCTGAATTTCATCTATGCATTTTTATCTGTTAAAAATGAACCCAACTGTGGGTCAGTCAGTGCCTGGTCAACTGAGTCAATCAGTGGTGGTTAAGGTGGTTAGATCTCGCATGGCTGGCTGTGTGGCTGAGTCCTGGACCAGAGGCTTGAAAAACATTCCCAACATGTGTGCATGTGTGCCCAAAATCCTGAGAGGAAAATGAAGGAGAAAGGATTGCGGCTTGGCCATCCCCCCTAGGGGGTGTTGTCTCGCTTCCGCTTCTCTCTTTCTGTCTCTCTGGTGAGTACATGTACCCTGTAGCAAACTTGAAAAAAAATGAAAAAGAGTCCAACTGTTCCTTTGTCAGGAAATGGATAAAGAAACCATCCTACATCCATACAATGGAATACTGCATAGCAATAAAAAGTATGACACACACGAATCTCTCAAACACGTTATACTAAATGGAAAAACCAGACTCACGTGGCTGCACCGGGGTGGGGAGCAGGAACTACAGGCTAGAAGGTTGAGAATAATTGCCAAGAATGGAACTGGTGCATTTTGGAGGGTCCATTTCTTTTTTGCATGAAACCAATTTCTCTTAGATATATTTTAATAGAAAGTAAATAAATCCCTGCTTGGTATTCAAAGCACAGTTTCTTTTCACTGGAGAATGCACTCTGTATACAATAAACTCTTTAAACATAAGAGAAAGGCTGGACGTGTACTGTGTGGCTCCAATTACGTGATGTTCTGGAAAAGGCAAAGCTGTAGAGACCCTGAACAGAGCAGTGGTCGCTTGGGCTCCGGCTGGGGAGGTATTGCATACCAAGGGGCAGGAGGGAATTTGGGGGGAAGATGTTTTTAATCTTGATTGTGGTGATGGGATCCATTGGTCAAAATTGATAAAACTGCATAGCAACAAAGGGGAATTGTACTGTATGGGAGGACTTCAGAAAGTTAGTGTGTTTGAGGGGTAACAGAAGGTGGCAAGGTGGTTAAGGTGCTAGACTCCCACATGGCCAACCATGGTTCAAATCCTGGACCTGGTTGCTTGCTTTCTCACTTCCCCTTTCTTTCTGTCTCTCTCTGGTCAAATTTAAAATAATAATAATAATACTGATGTAAAATAAATAAAACCAAATAAATCATTCTTTAAAAAATGTTTGTGGGGAAAAATGTAATTCAAGTATAGGATTTTTTTTCTGCAAAAATATTGAAACCCATGCATAGTTTTTTAAAAATAATATACATTTTTTCATGAACTTTTTGAAGACCCTGCATATTTAAATGAAAGGTAAATTAAATAAAAGAAGAAGAAATTTGCTATCTTAAAATATCTGTCTAGAAGTTTTTGAAGAAAGAAATGAGGCCACAAGGGGTTAAAGGAAAAGCTCTCGGGTCTTTGGGGTGGTGGGAACTGGATTTCTTGGGTGTGTGCCCCGCCTGGGCACTGTCTCCGGCCTCTCTTTTTCTCCTCTCTTACCAGCATTCAATAGCTGCAGCTATTGAGAGACAAGGGAAGTTTTGTGGAGCCTAGAAATAAATAAATAAATAACTGCCTGCCTGTCCCAGGTCACCATGGCAACCGTGACATCACCCTCGAACCCAGGAGGCTGGCATTATTGGCGTACTGGTGTTTGTTAAAGACCAGGGGGAGAAGGGGTAGCAGGTGCAGGGGATGCTCTCATTTGGAGACTTGGTGTCTCTCCTGGGAGAACGGTGGTAGCTATGCCCCTCACAGCGGGCCATTAGCCCCCAGCCCAGTTGGCAGGAATGGAGACTGTCACGGCCTCCTCGGGAGCTTCGGGCAGAGTCCATGGAGATGAACACTGTGTGTACCTGTTTCGGTGCCCTGGCTGCAGCAGCAGACCACACACACTGGTGAGTCCCAGGCCCGCACTGAGCCTGATGGAGTCCTGTCTACCCACAGCGAGGTGGATCTTCCGCATCTAGTCTTCTCAGACTCCCACGGTATCCCTTCTGGCAACACCACCACAGACACAGGGTAATGCTTTTCCTAGGTGTCAGTCCCTCAAGCTGACACCCTGAACTAACCACCACAGAGCCCGTTTGGGCGATCTTACCTCCCAGCTTCAAATGCTCTTCCTGGTGAAGCCGGACCTTGCTATCATCCAAGCTCAGCTTAGATGCCCCGGTACAGCCTTGATCATTGTGCAGCTGGGCTTCGAAGTCAGCCAGGCCGTGGTTGAATCCACGCCACCTAGGGACCTCGCTTCCTAAATGCAGTTTCTGCACATGGTTCTGCAGGGAGGATGAAACCGAGACGATGATTCTTCGAAGATTTCAAAAAGAGACACCAGGAAAATAAAAAAAAAAAGAGAAAGACACCAGGAATGTTTATTGTTAAGGTAAAATCACCTAGTAATTCCACATATGGACCTGAGCCCAGTGGGAATAAGAGCATATGTTCACCAACAGATACACACAAAAATGTTCATGAACAGATACCAGCAGTTAGTGTAATGACTATGTCGCTGAACTCCCATATAGCCGACTGCGGTTCGAGTCCCGGACCTGGTGGCTTAAACTCATGCTGGGTGCGTGTGCGCTCATGCCCAAGATCCCGAGAGGAGAATGGAGGAGAAGGGATTGTGGTGTGACCATCCCCCATGGGGGGGTGATTTCTCGCTTTCTATCTCTATGTCTCTCTGTCTGCCGAGCACACACACCCTATAGCAAAAGCCTCTCCAAAAAAAAAAAAAAACAGTTCATGAACAAAGTTATCCAAACTGGACTGTTTACCTGCAGTAGAATAGACTAATCATTTGTAGTGTATTCACCTAATGGAATACTATACAACTGTGAAAACAACCTGTTGCTGTAGCCAACAACGTGGATGAATATCACACAAACCATGTGAGCAAAAAAAAAAAAAAGGTCAGAAACAAAAGGATGTGTGCTCTGTAAGTCCATTGATAACAAGTTCAAGAACAGGCCAAACTAATGTACAATGACAACTCGGAGGGCAGATTCCTTGGGGGAAAAGGTATCCGCTGGGAAGGGGCATAAGTGTCACATGTGAGGCAGGAAATGAACTACAGCTCCTCCTGGGTGGTGGTTATGTGGGTGTGTGAGTATGTAAAAATTCATTTAGCTAAACCCTTGGGGAGCTCTACAGCAGTAAAGTATACTTAAAGAAGAAAACCAGACCAAGCTGTGGTGACACGCAATGTTAGGACACTGCAGCGCTGCAGGTTGAGGTCATGTGAGAGATCTGGTTCCATCTCCTGCCTGACCTGAAAGCTGCCTATGGTGGCGTGTGCCAATACTTCCAGGGAGGCTGGGGCAGAAGGACGTTAACATAGAACAATCCTGTCTAAAACACACACACATGACAGGTCGTCGAAAAGTGTGTGGAAAATGTGTATTATGAAGAAACGGCACGGATTTCCAAATTTTTTGCATTAAAGTAAATGTATACTTTAATTCCATTTTCCACGAACTTTTGAAGTCACAAGTAAAAGAATAGAGAAAAATACTTTATAAAAACATTAACCAAAAGAAAGCCAGTGTAGATGCATTAATACAAAAGTGGCTTTAAGGGGACACACTTCATGAGACATAAAGAAGACCAGGTAGTAATGTAATAACAAGCTCCAAACCCTTGGAACAGTAGCACTCCTGAATGTAAATGGTTGGTTGTGGGCATCTGTAATCCCAGCTACCTAGGAAGCTGAGGCAGGAGGATCGTGACATAGCGAAACTTTGTCTTGAAAAAAAAAAAAAAAAAAAAGAATGCTATATTCTAACTTTTTTTAAAAAAATATTTCTTTCATTAGTATGTGCACATGCATGCAAGAGAGAAAGATCTTCAGCCGGATTTCTGACTCCATGATCCACGCCCGACTGCAGCCAGCCTTGGATCATGGGCTCACAGGTGCCCTATGTACATAGGAAGGTCGTCAAACTTGAATTAGAAACCCCACGTGACATTGCCTCACAGAGTGTAGCGTTGTACTAGTGCGCCACCATCTGGCCCTTGAATCCTAATATTTAGCCAAGTTTAGTAATAAACACTGCATTGGGGGTTAGGCACAAAATATTGGGCAGTCCAAACATATTTAATAATCAGAAAACGAACAGGAGAGAGGATGGAGGGAAAATAGGAGAGAGAGGAGGAGAGGGCTTCTCTTCTCCCACCTACAGTAGCTGAAGTCTTTTTAGGCTTCCCTTGATGGAGTTGGAATCACTTCCCCAGAAGAACTTCCTGGAATTCTGCTTCTCTTTCCAGGTTCATGAACCACCGAGTCCCTGCTCACAAGAGGTACCAGCCCACGGAGTATGAACATGCAGCCAACTGTGCCACCCATGCTGTGAGTTGACCCTTGGGGGAGTGAGGGTTGAGCTGAGGACACTTCTTCGGGTGGGTTGAGGGGGTGTAGGCAGCTTCTTCATCTGTGGAGAAATTCGATCCATCCTAAGTGGCTATTTTCTCAAGTATTCCGTAGTTCTTAGGAAAGTGAGGGGGAATTTCAAGGGAAGGTCAATAGGATGCTCTGGTCAATGGCACTGAGCACGCCTCTCTTGTTCGAAGAATGTCCAATGGCTCCCTAGCATCTGCTACAGCATCTGGCCAGTCTAGTGGTGAGAATCAAGCCAGATCTGAGCCTGTCTGTCTGTCCGCCTCCCACTGCCACGCTCTTGCCTGTAGGCTCTAGCATCTGAACCACTCTGTTTCCTCCTTGCAAGGCATGACTTCATGCCCTCACCTGTGGTGTTCCCTCTGCCTGGAATACTTCCCCCTTTCTACTCCAGCCTTGGCTATGAAACCCTTTTCATCTTTTTGGCCTTGCTGAAAATCCCCCCCCCCCAAAGCCTTCCCATCTGCCAAAATGCTGGGGAGCTCTGAGCCAGTGCCCCAAATCCTCAGCTCAACCCCAGCCCTGGCAATGCAGAGATGTGTTTAAACTGAGTCCCCCCAGATAATCCTGCGAATCCTAGAACATCACTATGTGCCTGGCACAGGTAGCATGTGTGGGGGTGAAAGTGAATTAATACTTAATCTTGCTTCCTACTCTTTTTTTAAGAATTATTTTATTTAACTTTATTATTATTATTATTATTTTAAAAATTTGACCAGGGAGAGAGAGAGAGAAAAAAAAAAAAAGTGAGAAAGCAAGCTGCCAGGCCTGGGACTTGAACTATGATTGGCCATGTGGGAGACCAGCACCTTTTTTTTTTTAAGTTGCTGTTTTTTTTGGAGAGGTTTTTGCTATAGGGTGCATGCGCTCACCAGACAGACAGAGAGAGACTGAGAGACAGAAAGCGAGAAATCACCCCCCAGGGGGGATGGTCACGCCGCAATCCCTTCTCCTCCATTCTCCTTTCGGGATCTTGGGCACGCACGCACACGCGCCTGGCATGAGTTTTAAGCCACTGGGTCCGGGACGCGAACCGCAGTTGACTATGTGGGAGTCCAGCAACATAGCCATTACGCTAACTTCTGGTTCCCAGGAGACCAGCACCTTTAACCACCACACTACCTGCCAGCCCCTGCTTCCTCTTCGTAAGAACTCAGGAACTCTTAGATGTTTGGCATGAGCCCAGGACTTCAATGATGGGCTACAGGTGTAGTAAGAAAGAATAGCTGGTACCGCTTTGTACTCTGTGTGTCTGGCACCACACTGGGTCCTATGTTTGCATTTTCTTAGTAGATCCTGTTAGAGCAAAAGCTCACTGAGCAGAGACAGGATCTCACTGGTTCATCTCTGGAGCTCCATGCTGTGTGCATAGTAGGGACTCAAAAAATATTTGAGAAATGATCACATTTCGTTTTGCAGAGGAGGACACTGATACTTGGGACTTACCCAAAGTCACAAACGTACTCATCTTAATAAGTGGATGCTGCACTCCAAGGAGCAAAGCTTTAGCAAAAGAAGACTTACCTTTGAATCCCAGCTCCATTGTTTAGAGGCTCTGAGCCTCAGTTTCTTCATCTGCAGAATAGATGTAGGAAGAGCCACTCCCAAGAGTGGCCGTGAGTATTGCTCAAAGCCTCAGTGCTGGCACAACACGGGCATCTCAGCCAGTGTATTGCCTTGGCACATTCACCCACGTCCCTGGGAAAAGAGGTGCTGAACTGATCCTGCCATTTTCCATGGGGAAGCAGTGAGGCTGAGAACAAAATGCCACATGGGCCCAGGTTTGACTCCTAAGCCTGCCCTGAAAGCCAGGTGCAATGGCTCATGCCTTTAGTCCCAGCTACTTGGGAGATTGTCACATAGTGAGACTCTCTAAATCAAGCACAGAAGCACTAATTATAAGGCTGCTATAAATACAGGGCATATTCATACTCCAGTGGGCTCCAGGAGGTGGGCCGCTGAATCACAGGTACTAGGCCTTCTCTGTTAACTCATT